ACGCGCAAAAAAATGGAGGGGTCAGGCGGAATGATAACGACCGGAGAGGTGCGAGGGTCAGAGCATGAGACGCTTGCAACAGATGGGCAGGAGCACAGTCAGACTCCTCCCCCTCCCTTTCCTTCTCCTCCTTCTCCTCCTCCTACTTAGCCTCAGCCTTCTCTCCCTCGTCATCCTCCTTATCCTCGTTGTGGTCCTGATTGGTTCAAGCGTGCTCAATAACTTTCGCGCCCGAGTGTTCGCGTCCTCCGCCTCCTCCTCCGCCTCGTCGTATTCCTTCTCCTCATCATCCTCTCTGCGCTCCTCCATGCCGTTTCCATATTGGCTCAAGCATCCGTCGGCTCAAACATGCGACATCGAGCCCCCCCCCCCCCCCCGCATGCGCACATGTTGCAAGGACATCGCCACGGGGAAACACCATGCAACATTACATTATTTTGCTACTGTTGCTCACGGCTGCTAGCCGAAAGCGCCACAATGCAGAGCTGGAGCGGGTCAGCCTCGAACCGCATAAGCAAGGACTCACTGAGAAGACGCTCGGCACCGAAACTAGGCAGGCTGAGAGGATGCGTGTCCCCTGCAGCTGGTGAACACCTAACGGCCAGGCTTGAGCTGACCCTCCCTCCCACTGGTCTGGCGCGCCTGAATACTACACATCCTATCGAACTGTTTTTTTGATCGCACACCTACCCTTCGGCCTGCCGCCGCCGCCATTCGGGTCGGAGCCGTCGTCACTCTTGTCGGTGTCCGCTGGCTCGAGATCCGCAGCGGGCCTATAGTGGCGCTTGGCGGACTTGGGCCACGCGTGATGCTTCGCCCAGATCCACAGCAAGGCGTCGCTCCTCAGCTCGATCATGGCATGCCCTGGGGAGACGTCGACAGGCATCTTGCTGAGGACGGAGGGCACCGATATCCTGCCATGGGATAATCCACCGAGAGCGACGTCGACCAACCATGCTTCCTGGCCTTCCTGTAACCTCTTGAGCGCCTTCAACTGGAGCCTCTCCTTGCGGGCCAACTGCCCAGCAGGTGGAGAGCCCCCGTGGCCAAGCGCTGCTTTAGACGCGGATCCCTGCAGTTTCTTCAGCAGGTCGATAACTGCAGACATCTCTTTGTTGTAGGCCTTCTTGCCTGAAAGCCAAGCAAGCATGGCGTCGCCCTTGGCAAGGGGGATGAACTGGGCGCCGCCCACGTTGAGGACTGAGGCTCCTGGCCAAGATGGCGCCTTATCCGTCATCGCGCTCACGGTCACTGTTCTCCTAAAGGTGATCGTCTTCAGCTCGAGATCCAGTCTTGGGCAATCGCACCTGCCTTCAACATCTCTTTTTTAATTTAAAAAACTGGGGCCAACACGGCTACGGAACGATGCGAAGACATAGGATGACGCGGCCCGTGGTTCCAGGATTAGCTCGCATTCAGAAGACGCGGTCTTGGAACAACAATTGGTAAACTACATGCTGCATGAATTAGCTGGGGGGGGGGGGGGGGGGGGGGGGGGTATCGTTTACATCACCGACGCCGCTTGCTCTGTTACTCGCTGGAAGCTCGAAACCATCTGCGCAACTTGCATCGTGCAACTCCTGCTTCTGCCAGTCGCCCCTTCTCCCCATGTAAGATACCCCAGGGCGGGATGCGCGGCCCCGAAGCGAAGGCCAGATAAATCAAGCCAAGCCAGAACATCTCAAACAAGCCGGGTATAATCGCGCGCCCTAGAACTTAAAACGCACCCCGCATCAGAATATGCGCCTCATGTTGTTCCTTCCATCCTTCCTTCCTCCTCTCTCTGTGCAAGGGGGCTCGCTGCGCCCCCTCGGTGGCCTCGGGCTTCTTGGAGAGCGCCCGATGGCTGGGCGCCCACGGGTTGGTGGCGGCCTGGCCCGGGAGGTCCGACACTGCATCGATAAAGACCTGCCCTGCGCACTCCAGATCTGGATGGTTGATGCCCCCCCGAGACGCCTTCCCTTTACTCAGTGGCATGTTGGCGATTCTGCAGTCGTGGAAGCAAAGAAGGCCCCAGCGCCTGGACGGCTCCAGGCCGTTGTTCCTCAAGATGTCGCGAGCGTCGTCCATCATTTTCTCTGCTTGCTTTGCCAGTGGTGACAACTGTTGGCTGGTTAGTTGCCCCGCGTCGCTTTCCTTGAGAAGTTCGCACCTCCCATCCTTGATCTTCTCCATCGGCGCGCGCACGTTCGAAAGGAGAGCTGTTCGGCGGACGCGGTTGTGCTGGATAACCTCGCCAGCCCAGTGAAGGTTGGCGACTTTCTCAACGAAGCTGCCTCCTGCGTCGCCGCAGTAGCTGCCCGCGTGTTCGGGCGCCTTCGGGCGAGGGGTGGCCGAGCGAAAACAGCGCGACAGCCCCCCCCCCCCCCCTACCTTGCAATATTTCTCATACCTCCGTATCCTCCTTCCTCCACCAATCCAGGAATTAGTCTATGCACCTTGACCGTTGCTTGAAACCTATTCCTGGGCTCTGAAAGCTGATCGTAGGAAACCACTTTCCACTGCTTCTTCAAGGAAGCCGGCCACCCTGCCCAACGCGGATCTGTTTTGATACTCTCGGACACCGCCTCCGTCCACGCACTCTTCTCGTCGAGGCCATTGCTGCGCATATTAGCGAGCGAACTCGACGTGCTCACGCGGCCCTCCATCTCAGAAGCTTGCGAAACCACGTGGTTATTTAATGCCTTGAACCCGATTTCCAACATCTCTGGGAAGCGTTGAACAGCGGATTCGTGAATCAAGGTCCACTCGCGGCCACTCGTGAGGGCGCGCACCATGGCTGGGTGATTCTTCACCATCTCCTCCTTGATCAACCTGCCACTGGGCGCTAGCTTGTTCAACGTGCATGGGCCGTTCGCCAGGGCCGCCCTCAACAACGCATTGCAGTGTGATCTTCCGAAGGTAAAGCACATGACATTGTCGAATGGAGGCATGCCTTGGTTGACAGAGTTCTCGTTGCCGAACCCCCCCCCCCAGGGCTCTGAGAATGACGAACCTCGGGATACCGAAACCAAGCTCTACAACTTGACGGTTTTCTGTTACCCCTCCCCGAAACAAACAGTTTGGACTGTGAACCTGGAGTCCTGGATACAGCGAGATCTCCAGCGCAGGCCTTCTTGTCGCTCCACCCTGCGTTGCAATGCTTCAGCCCGTTGCTGAGGGCCTCGCCGAGCGCGACTCCGATGCCGCCGCGGTTCTTCGGGTGGGGCGCGGCGAAATCTGCATGAACGAACTGCTTCCGCATGAGGCAAGGGCGGGCCGACAGCGAATCCGTCAAAGTGTCGAACGCCTGAACGATTTGGCTGAAACAAAGGCAGGAGGGCGCGAGCGCGAAAACTTGCGCCACAAGGCAGCGAAAACACGACGCGGTGGTGGTTGGACTCTACCGAGCTGGCTCCCCAGAAAAAATGGCCCCTCCCATCCTCCCAACCTCCCTCCTAAGACGGCCCCAGCACGCTCCAAGACGGCGCCCCCCACAGAGGCCCGAAACCTCCAAGACGGCCCAAGAACGCCCCAAGACGGCGCCCCCCAAAGGCCACCAGCCCCCAAGACGGCCGAATATCGCCCCAAGACGGCGACGCTAAGGCTCTTAGCTAAGCCTCGCTAAACCTTTGGCTAAACCTTTAGCTAAACCTTTGGTGAACTGCCTAGCTAAACCTCGCTAAATATTTAGGCTTAGGGTTGTAAGGGTTTTCCGAAGTCGAAGTTAACGTGCGCGCCGCCGTTAGCAACGCTAGGTAACCCTGTAGCTAAGCCGCTACATCCCTGGAGTCGTTTTAGCTAACGCTTGTGAGAAGCACTAACACATTAGGTAGTGGAAGCTAAGCGCTCTAAGTGTTACACGCTGTTGTCGGAATTGGTGAAGAGATGCTAGAGGTTGGCAGTGTGTTAATACATGTTACTAGTGGTTTACTTGAGGCTGCTAAACTACGACGAGCGCACCAACTGTAAGCAAGGCGCGTGGTCATCCAAGCAGCCCTGCAAGACCGCCGCCAGCCCCACCAGCATCAGGAGCAGGGGCGACAGCAGCCGCCGCGGGGGCCGCGCCCACTGGACGCCAGCCCCGGCATGGCCAGCGAGGGCGACCACGATGAGCTCGACGGGCACTGCACCCGCCCTTGCGCAGGCGGCAGCACGGGTCGTGTCCACCGCGGCAGGCAGCGGGAGGTGCTAGAAGTCGTAGACCTCGTGGAGCGCCATCACAGCGGCTGGAGCCCCGATCGTGCCATGCGGCAGCATCGTCCACTCCGCGATGTTCGCGACGTCGTCGAGGTCCTCATCGTAGTCGTCGCGGTCGGGAGTGAGGGCCCCGACGACAGAGACGGGCCCCCGGCACCAGTGCCGTCACCAGCCTGCGGTGCCAGAGCCGACGCTCACGCACTCGATAGCGGACGGCGATGAAGTCGCCCTCGGCGAGCCCGGTCGTCTCGAGCCGGTGGCGCGCCATGGCGTCAGCCGCGGAGCGAAGCGGACCGGCGAGCTGCGATCTCCGCCAGCTGCGCCCGCTCCTCCTCGGCGCCAGCCACCGCTGCGCGCACAGCACCGCGGCGCCGCCAAGGGCTGCGCCGAGCCCGAGCAGGACAAGGCAAGCCCCCGGCGTGGGCCACGACCCGCTCGCCCCCAACTCCCGCGGCACGGTGCCCTCGGCGCAGAAGAACACAGGCGCGCGCTGGCAGGCGCAGTCTGGACAGGGGACCGCTGAGAAGCGAACGGCGAGAGCGGTCGAGAAACTCCTGCTGAGCTCCGTGAGCAGGGGATCCATGGGAGCCTGGGCTCCAACAAAAACTTTGAGCACAATAGCGTCGGATGGCAAGCGCTCTGAGAGGAGACGGGCTGACATCCGAGTGCGTCCGTATCAAGTTCTAAATGCACCCACATATGTACACATATGTTCGCCAGAGACCTGGGGGGGAGTCGAAGACGAAAAGGGGAGAGGGGGTAAGCGGGGCATTCTTCGAGGGGCCGACCTGGCGCCCACCCCCCCTTCGAACCCACGGTTCCGTGTCGCCGAGGCCCTGGAGGCGCCCCTGCAGACGCCCGACCACACCGCCCTCGGCGCCGAGCACCGCTCGCCGGCCCTCGGCGTCCGGGCCGCGCGGCGGTCGTCCGTCGCCGTCGCCCGTCGCCCGTCGTCGTCGTCGTCGTCGTCGTCGTCGTCGTCGTCCGTCGACCGTTGACCGCCGTCGTCGTCGTCGTCGTCGTCGTCGTCGACGTCATCGTTGTAGTTGTCGTTGTCGTCGTCGTCGTCCTCGTCGTCGTCGTCGTCCGTCGTCCTCCGTCCACCGTCCACCGTTCGCGGTCCGTCGTCCGTCGTCGTCGTCGTTCGTCGTCGTCGTCGTCGTGGTCGTCGTCGTCTCCGTCGTCGTCGTCGTCGTCATCGTCGTCGTAGTGGTCGTCGTCGTCATCGTCGTCGTCGTCGTCCGTCGTCCGCCGTCCACCCTCCACTGTTCGTCGTCGTCGCCGTCGTTGCCTTCGTCCGTTGTCCGCCGTCCGCCGTCCGTCGTCGTCGTCGACGTCGTAGTAGTCGTCGTCGTCGTCGTCGTCGTCGTCGTGGTCGTCGTCGACATCGTCGTCGTAGTAGTCGTCAACATCGTCGTCGTTGTCGTCCGTCGTCCGCCGTCCGCCGTCCACCCTCCACTGTTCGTCGTCGTCGTCGCCGTAGTTGCCGTCGTCCGTTGTCCGCCGTGCGCCGTCCGCCGTCCGTCGCCGTCGTCGTCGTCGTCGTCATCGTCGTCCTAATGGTCGTCGTCGTCCGTCGTCGTCGCCGTCCGCCGTCCATCTTCCGTCGTCGTCGTCGTTGCCGTCGTCCGTTGTCCGCCGAGAGCCGTCCGCCGTCGTAGTCGTCGTCGTCGTTGTCGTCGTCGTCGTGGTCGTCGTCGTCGTCCGTCGTCCGTCGTCCACCGTCCACCGTCCGCCGTCCGTCCTTCGTGGTCGTCGTCCGTCGTCGTCGTCGTCGTCGTCGTCGTCGTGGTCATCGCCGTCGTCGTCGTCGTCGTCGTCCGTCGTCCGCCGTCCACCGTCCACCGTCCGCCGTCCGTCCTTCGTCGTCGTCGTCGTCGTCGTCCGTCGTCGTCGTCCGCCGTCCGCCGTCCGCCGTCCGCCGTCCGTCTTGCGTCTTTCGTCGTCGTCGTCGTCGTGGCCGCGGGGCGGCAGGGAGCCAGGGCCAGAGCTTATATGCGCATCGACTCGGAGGAGGACAAAGGTACCGATGCCCCTACTAGAGGCCTCCTAGATGGGGTCCGAGTAGACGGGGTCAGAGGATCGCGCCGCATCGCCCATACATCGACGATGCATCGGCGAAACATCGGCGATGCATCGGCGACGTCAGCGTGAAGAAAATCGGGCTCCGCATCGCGCCGTATCCCCAAGGCATCGGCGATGCGGCGCGATCGTCCGACAACATCTACCCCAACCCCATCCGAGAGGCCCTAGACCTACCCTTGCCGCGGTGTCACCTTTTCGGGCCTCCTGGGAGGCCCTCGTCGCCACCGCTGGGTTCGCCGCGAGCTTCTGGCCGGAGCGCACCCCAGGACAGGTCCGGGGAGTAGCGGCATCAGTCTGTCCTGGTTTCCCCATCGACCGCCTGGGGCGTCCTTTCCCCGAACGGCGGATACGTACGAATCTTTCGGCTCAGGGGGAGAGGGAAAGCACCGGCAGCAGGTTCGGGGGGCAAGGCAGCGACCAGCCGTCTCAGAAGGCGGCGGAGCTTCTCAGAAGCGGGGCCGCCCGTGGCTTCGGGGAAGGCTTCGAGAGGTTCTCGGAAGGCCGGAGGGCTCCTGAGCCTTCTGAAAAGGCCTTTCCCCCTGGTCGGGCCGCCGAATTCTGGCCCTGGACAAGCAACCCCTGAGGCAGGTGAAGAGAGAACGGATGGAAGGAAGGGACAAGGGGGGGGGAGGAGGATGGCGCACGAGAGAACGAGAGAGAGAGAGAGAGAGTAGCAGGAGAGGGGCTAGGAGCAGAAAAGACCTGGCAGAACCAGACGGCCAGATCCCAAGAGGGCGCAAAGAGCGCCCCAATAAGCCCCAAGAGGCCTCCAAAAAACACCCGAGATGCCCCCAAAGAGGCCCCCGAGCGGCCTCCGAGGGGCCTCAGAGAGCCCCAAATGACTTCAAGATGACCCACGATAGCCCAAGCTAGCTCCAGATGGCTCCCAAGATGCTCCAAGAGGCCCCAAAACCGACAAGATGGCCACGGAGCCTCCCCAGGATGCCGCCGAGATGCCCAAATCCTTTCTACAACAAAAAAAACGATGCGAAAACAAACGATTATGGCCGTCTCGCCTGTTTGCGTTCGATGGCCTTCCGGGGCCTCAAGATGGCTCCAAGATGGCCAAAGAGGGCCCCAAGAGAGGCCCAAGGGAGCCCCAAAACGGCCCCAAGAGCGCCCCAAGAGCGCTCCAAAAGGGGCCCAAAAGGACATGTTAGGCACTCGCGAAAAGCGACGCTACTTGAAGCTCCCCCTTCTTTCGATCTCCTCCAAGATGGACCCGAGAGCGCCCCCGAGGCTCCCAAGAGCGCCTCAGCAAGGCCCCAAGAGGCGCCCAGACGGCCCCAAGAGGCGCCCAAGACGCTTCCAAGAGGCCCCCAAGAGACCCCAAAGAAGCCTCAAGAGGATCCCCACGGCACCTAAGACGCTCAAAGACGGCCGTGGGCCCGCCAAAATGCCCCCAAGACGCTCCAAAAGCCTCCAACAAGCTTCCAAGACACATCCGAGGAGACTCTGTGAGGCAACACGCCTGGGCATCGTTTCTGGATGGGCTGGTGGAGATATTTTTTGTTAGCAGCCGTAGGCGAGCGCGCCAACGGGCCGCGCGGGGGCCTAATTACCTAGCGCGGAGCAGAGCATGACCTACCGCCGAAGCCTCAGCGCCGAGGCAGCAAGAGGAACCGGGGGCGGGGGCTGCAAGCAGCCGGGGCCGCCAGGGGGCTGCAAGCGTGCGAATAGCTGGTAGGGGATACGCGAAGCGTCAAGAATCGTGAGGGGATATCAGGCGGGAGATGTTGAACATTATTTATTCTAAAGAATAATTATTGTTGGGCCCCCTGGTGCGCGCCCCCCCTGCGCCGCCTAGGCCGCAGCTACATTTTCATCACTTTCGTGAGGAAGCCTCAGAAAAGAGGGTGTGTACAGGATCCGGCTGTTTTGTTGTAATCCGCTTTCCCTTGCAAAAAACAATAGAAAATGACATTTCTTGTTCTAATATAATCAAATTTCAAGAATCCCTTGCAAAAAATAAGGTAAAGTGGACATTCGCGCGCGCAAGACGAAATCCTTCCAAAACCTTAGTGTTCGTAGCGATTTTAACATAAAAACATCAAAAAACCAATGGTTTTTCAAACAAAAATGTCAAAATCTCATCCCGCGCGCTCTTGCGGATTCGTAGGAAACCCAACACTTTTTAAACATTTCTGTCAAACGGGCTTTTGCGAGCAACTTTTTCGAACTTCTGCAACAACGGTTGCGCACCTGCCAGGGCCATCATCCCTGTCAAATAATACCATGCGGGACACATTCGTTTTTTCTTCGCGCGCGCACGCCGTCGTCGTCGGCCGCGGGGCCCTGAATAGTAGCCACGGTCGTCCGCATGCCACGAAGTGAAGTGTCCGAACGTCATAGGGCGGGAAGCTGGGTGTGGGTGGTGGCGAAGAGTCGTTTGGAAATTTGGTAGAGCTTGAACCGGCCCCCCCACAAAGTGGGGGTATTGCCCGCCTCCTATGAAAACCCTGGCACTGGTGAGAACGGAGTGTCCCCACGTGCTAGTAATTGTTGTTGTTGTTGTTGTTGTTGGTGTTGTTGTTGTTGTTGTTATTGTTGTTGTTGTTGTTGTTGTAGCTCGGGGGCGGGTGGCCCAGCTTAGTGACCCGACATTGTCCCTTAAAAAACAAGGTGCGAGCTCTGGAATGAGCACTTCAAACTCAATTACCAGAAGGGGGATCAACAATGAGTACTTTAGAAAAGAGAATACAAAACAACAGCAACAACAACAACAACAATCAGTTTAAGACTGTTCGCCCTTATCTGCTCGAGTGTCGAATAACGCGAATTTCCCCAACCCTCGATACCCGCCCTTTTCGTCTTCGATCGAATCCCTTTTGGGGGGTATACCTTTCTTCCCTGCAGGCCGGGCCCCGGCAAGCGGCGGGGCGGCCGCGGACCGTCGGCCTGGCCAGCGGCAGCGCTGATCGGCGGGGCGACCGCGGACCGTCGACCCGACCCCAACAGGGACGGACAGGGGACCGACCACGACGACGGCAACGACGGCGACGGCGACGACGACGACGAGCGAAAGCGAGAGCGAGAGAGAACGACAGCAGAGCCACGAAGGACACGAAGTAGGCCACGAAGGGCGACAGCGGGGACACGAAGGGAATGCGTATGGGGTCACGAAGAGCGCGAACGAGCGTGGGCCACGAAGGGCACATAATACGGGGCCACAGAAGGCAACGATGGGGCCACTGAGGGTAGCACCTGGGCCACGTAGGACAATGAGGGGGCCACAAACATCGACAGCGGGGCCACGAAGGGCATGGACATGGGGCCACAACGGGCGCGAACGAGCGGGGGCCACGAAAACATACGTATTTTGGGCCGCGGAGGGTAAGGACGGGGCCACTGTGGGCAGCAACGGGGACACGAAGGGCAACGAGGGGGCCACGAAGGGCGACAGCGGGGCCACGAAGGGCATGTATATGGGGCCACCACGGGCGCGAACGAACGGCAGCGAGGGGGCCACGAAGGGCTGCAACGGGGCCACGAAGGGCTAACGGGGCCACGGAGGGCAGCGAGGGGGCCACGAAGGGCTGCAACGGCGCCACGAAACAAAGCGAGGGGGCCACGAAGGGCTGCAACGGGGCCACGAAGGGCAACGAGGAGGCCACGAGGGGCTGCAACGGGGCCACGAAACAAAGCGAGGGGGCCACGAAGGGCTGCAACGGGGCCACGAAACAAAGCGAGGGGGCCACGAAGGGCTGCAACGGGGCCACGAAAGGCAGCGAGATCCCGATTCCTAGGTAATCTGTGAAGGAGTCCTAAGCGTGAGCGCGACTCCTGGGTGCCTGGGTGTCGGGAGCGCGGCGCT